TACATGAAACATTTTTGATCTGATCAGGCCTTCAATCCGATTAGTTGTGTCCATGTAAACGTAGCTAATGTGTAGGTAAATGAAGTATATGCACATATTTTATCATTGAGCATATTTACCAAATAGTCAGGGGAGGAGAAGGGGTGAGTGTGTCAGTTGTGCTCCAAACCTTCTCAAATTCTTGTTCTTCTTTCAGAACTCATTCCATTTTCTCATGTAAATGCCCCCAAAGGACCCAGTTTGGGTTTGTGGAAATTGCTAAATGGGACAGTTGTAGGTTTACATATACCGTTTTCCCAATGGCTGAAAAACCTGTTTAAACCCGGGATAAACCTGCTTTCAGTGGTAGTGGGAACAGCTCACTAATGTGTGTTTACCCGGGTCAAACAACTCGCAAGTGACTTGTGTTAAAATTGGCATTTTGCCAGAAGGAGGTTAGACCCTCCATTTTTGCCAATGGGAGGGAAGCCAAATTCCGATTGTTAACCAGTCGACCCCTGTTTGAAAACCCGGGTTAACCTGGTAATTTCAGTGGGGAAGAGGCTTTAGTATGATGTACATACTGTAGCCTACATTTGCTTCAGCACACATACCGTAGACAATGGACGTACGTTATGTTACATTTTTTGGGGTTAATATATAATGTAAAATAATGTTATTTTTATGTTATTTATGTCCTATTCTAAGCTGAAACTGAGAAGTGTTTGATAAGATAATATAAGATGTGTCAATAAGTTGTTTTATCTTTTACATTGTGAACTTTGGAATCTAGTCTCTCATTGAGAAATTGATACGTTCCCAAATAGATAATATACATTGCCTTGCAAAGTATTTGGACCCTTGAACTTTGACCTTTTGCCTAATTTCAGGCCTAAAACATAAAGCTATAAAGTTGTAATTTAATGGTGTTTTCAGGGTGATGAGCTGTGTTGTTTTTACACTAAACATAACATGCATTGTTTCCAAAAAGTTCGATTTTGGTTTTGTCTTAACAGAGCACCTTCTTGCACATATTTGGTGTTTCTCCTAAGTGGCTTGTGGTAAACTTTATGGATATATTTAAGAAATGGCTTTTTTCAATGAAGGTTGGATTTATGCAGTACACGACTAATTGTTGTCCTATGGACAGAGTCTGAAACCACAGCTGTAGATCTCTGAAGTTCAACCAGAGTGATCATGGGTCTCTTGGCTGTATTTCTAATCCGTCTTCTCCTTGTTTGAGCTGAAAGATTAGAGGGATGGCCGGTTATTCGTAGATTTACAGTGCTCTGATGCTCCTTCCATGTCAATATTATCACTTGCTCAGTCCTCCTTGGGATGTCTAAAGTTTGGAAAATATTTCTGTATCCAAATCAGACTTTAGACTTCTCCACAACAATTTCTTGGACTGGCCTGGTGTATTCCTTCATCTTTATGATAGTCTCTGCAGTTTGAATTGACCTCTGAGACTATCATTGAGCAGGAATTTCATTCCTCCTCTCTGTTTAGTGAAATATGTTTAATTACAGCAGTACCAACTGTCCTCACTGCATTATCTGAAGTTTGCAATGTTTTAAGCACCATTTTATAATGTATGACAATAGTATGTTTGAGACACATGTAATATCCATGTTTGCATGCTGAAAATGATGATCTGACCTCCCCTTTTCAGGGTGGAGCCTGCTGGAATCCGATGGTTGAACCCTGGTCCCTGGAGATGTAAGTGTGATTCATATAAATGAAGCAGCTAAGATTAAACCAATGTTTAACTGTTCCATCACCTTTTCAGGAGTTTCCATTGCAGTGTAAAAAAAATAAAATAAAAAGGTAAAAGCTGAAATTTGGTTATGTTTGTTCTCTTTAACAGACTTCTGTCTACTCACATTCGACACAAATGCAGTGAGCAGATACCTGAAACTTTCTGAGGACAACAGGAAAGTGACATTTGATCATTTACACAAATTTGATTACTGGCCTCAGTTGCTGTGTACAAATGCTTTGACTGGCCGCCATTACTGGGAGGTTGAATGGAGAGGGAGAGTTGATATCTCAGTGAGTTACAGCAGAAATAGCAAGAGAAAAGAACCTTGGTTTGGAAGGAATAATCAGTCCTGGAGTCTAAGCTGCTTTGATGATGGGTATTCTGTCTGGCACAATGACATAGAAACACATATTTCCTCCCCCATCTCAAACAGAGTAGCAGTGTATGTGGACTGTCCGGCTGGCGTTCTCTCCTTCTACAAAGTGTCACCTGAATCATTGATTCTCCTCCACACCTTCAACGCCACATTTACTGAACCTCTGTTTCCTGGATTTGAGTTCAGATGGCACAGATCTGGTTCATCAGTGTTGTTGTGCTGAATTGGAGATAAAGACACTCCAACTCTCAGAAAAATACTCTTATTGATGAACAGCCTGTACATGTCTGTCTTTTTCAGATAAAAAAAGCTAATGGATTTAAAATGTTTCCTTTTTATAATTCATTAAAACTTCATCCTCTGCAAGTCCTTTAAAGTTAGAAGTTGAGATTGTGCCATGGTTCCATGTTTGTCTGGCTGTTTCTAGTCAAGGCTTTACACTGAATATAATGATGTTTCACTTATTATTTTTATTTGTAAGGGAAGCCAATGTTCGTCAATAATGACTATGACAAAATTATGTAGTTGACGCTCCTTTTATTCATGACGATAATGAGAACCGCAAGCTAAACCTGGATCTTTGATGACAAAAACTTGATGACTTATGGGTTTGAGTTTTCGTTGACGAGACTAAATAAAAATGTTAGTGGGAGTTCAGTAAGACTTTTAAAATTCCTTATTGTACTGCAATCGGTTAGACAAGCCAGGCAGTATCAGTTGTGCAGCTGCGTCCTGTTTGCTCATCCTGCCCACCTGGTTTGTAGAGGTGCACATTCTGCATGACCACACATGGATCATGACAGCAGCAGCATCGGTAAAAATAAGCTGGAATCATCCGGTAATGCACGATGAACTCTGACAAACTCTACTCTTCCTCCTGTGCTTGTTCAGTTATGCATCTTTGTGCATGCTTAGCTCAGAGTCTGCCCTTTTAGCTCCAGAATGATGGTTCGCTCTCAGCAGAAGGGCTCTTCCTGCCCTCGCTAGTTCATAAACAATGTGTGGCTGATCATCCTCTGCCAAGCGTAAAATATCCCTTTCTGTAACTATCAAGATTTTATTTCTTCCAGCCTACAGTACAAGCGGTGATGCTGAGCATTCTTTAATTTCTACCAAAATTTATCTATAACTTAAATCCTAAGAATGTATTTGATTGCATGCTGTTTATTTTTGGATAAAGACCCAGATGAAAAGATACATTCTTTCTCATAGATCTTGTTTCTATCTATTAAAATATGATATAAATGTTTCCTTGTATTTTCATTAAACATTTTCATCGTTTCCTTTAATTATTTCAACATTTAGGTAACATATTCATTCAATTTACGTCTGGATTGCCATGGCAGTACAAGGCAATTATGTAGTTTATCTCTTTACTTTTTTTTTTTTTTTATATCAAAACCCTTTGAATTTAAATCTACTTTGACCCCTGAGCAGCAGTAACT